GGCCTCCAGGTGCGCGTGGTTCCCGCGTACGGCCCTGTGAGTTTTTCGGCAGGAAAATGGCTAACTCGGGAACTAGCAAAGCGGGGAAGCTGAAAATTTTCATGGAATGTTCCTAGCACATGTACGACTTGAGTTCATCAAATTTATCCCCAGGCATGCGCGGTTCTCACGTACGGCCCCGTGAGATTTTTCGGCGGGAAAATGGCTAACTCAGAAATTATTAAAGATGGGAAGCTGAAATTTTCAGGGAATGTTCCTAATCCACTTACAACTTAAAGTTGTCAAATTCAGCCCGGGCGTGCGTGGTTCTCGTGCACGGTCACTTAAATTTTCGGCGGGAAATTAATCATTGAACGGCTGGGTTATTTTCAAAAAACGACCGCTAAATGGATATTGTTTATTTTCTTTTATGCAAAATTTACGATGAGTTTCGGTATTGAGAGCACAAGGTAGGTGTAAAGAAAAACAACCACTCATGCAGTTAACCTAATTATTTCAAAGATTAGTGCAAAAACGCATGATCGCACCGACTTGCCTAGTGCGTTCCAGCCTGGGTTCATCACGATTAGCCCCAGAAATTGCTTCCCGTTAATTTTCGAAGTGTTTGAAACCAATTCCCGCCAATCTTCGATGCGAAAAATAGGAGGACATGGACACTTATTCTGTGCTTGAGGAGCTATCCATAGTTTGTTAAATCAATAGTATGCTTTTTATGCGTTTTTGCATACATGTAAATTGCAAAAACGCATAATGGGAAGAGGCTGTCTGTGTGTTCGCAGTTTTTGTCACCCACTTTCGACTCGAGAACCAGAAAAGCTAGAAGGCTGAAACTTTGGGGATATGTGCCTATACCATGCGCGACCCTCCCGTTTCAATTTCATCCCCCGTGGATGCCTGGGTGCCGTGTACGGATGCTTTAAAAAAATATGCAAATTTTTAGGCGGGAAAGCGATCTCAGGAACCACAAGAGTTAAGGGGCTGAAACTTTGTAGGGATATTCCCTGTGCATGTACTAGCAAAATATTTCAAATTCAGCTTCCAGTTATGCGCGGCACTCACGCAATGGCAATTGAAAGTTTCAGAGGGAAAACTGCTAACTCGGGTGCCAGGAAAGCTAGAAAGCTGAAATTTTGGAGGAATGTTCCCTATCGAAGTACAACTCAAATATTTCAAATTCAGCCCCGCAGCTATCAGCGGTACTCACGTAAGGGCGTACGAAAGTTTCTGCAGGAAAATTACTAACTCGCCAGCCAGAAGAGATGGAAGGCTGAAATTTTACGGTGATGTTCCCTGTCCACGTGCAATTTAAAAATTACAAATTCAGCTTTCCAGGTACGTAGGGCATTCACGCACGGGCACGTGAAATTTTTGGCGGGAAAATTGCTAACTCGGTGTCCAGAAAAGCTGGAAGGCTGAAATTTTAGGAGAATATTCCCTGTCCAAGTACAACTCAAATATTT